CGTGCAGCATCGACACGCACAGGTGGAAGCATGCCAGCTGGCGACCATACCATTGTGTGCCGCTTCCCAAATCGGAATTTGGCCCGCAGGACACCCGAAGCTTCCAAAGGGCACACTTTTACGCCGCAGGAATCGTAGCTACGACTTGTCTCGTACGCTTTAGACTTGTACACAGTCCCGGCTCCGTCACATTTCGTGACATTAGTGTTTGAGCACCAGGCTTCCAGCGAATCGCTCAACAGTCATCAGTTCCTATGTATATAATGTTTGCAAGCAAGCGCCTGTTCTTAATGAAGCCACGAATATACAGCTTCAAGGTCGCAAAGACCACCATCTCTTCGTATACTTGGCCAAATCGCTACAACATGGCCTTCTGTACACGGTCTCATCCCAATCTCAACTATTTGAAAGAGCGCGTATGTCATTTCCTCACACCCAACGTCGGACTCCTTCTCCTTCGTACCAATGAGACTGGATTACGAAAGAAGGCGTTGACCGACCCGTTCGAGGGATCGCGGGAGGATTTGGAGGAATGAGGAAAGCAGGAACATGGAGTTCCTGCTGGTTGAGGGTGCCCCTGTAGCTTTTCCCTGCGATGTATCCGACCACACGGGTCACGCAAAATCATCGGTCAGCACCTCTTCCCTATCAGGGTCCAAGAGCGAACAGAGCACCATGGCCGACGCTGTCCCGCACGGCATGCTTCGGCAATGCCGCGCGAAATCGTGCGAAAACTCGTACCTTAGACTGGGAAGGGAATTTTCCCGAGCACCTCTACGATTCAGCATTCAGCATCAGATCGTATGGTAGTTCCAGTAGGTTTGCAGCACTGTAATCTTAAACATGACTTGCGACTGATTTCACAACAGAGCCGTATGTCCATGACTGATGCTCTACCCGAATTCGATTCGATGCCTTCTCGATGCACACCAATTATCACGAGCCGGTTTCACATGCATTAGCCACAAACACGCGAGCCAGGCTGCCGACTGACCTCGCACGGCTTTTCTCAACTTTGAGTAACGATCAGTCTAGCGGGCCGTTGTCGCCACGACTTAGTGCGGGAAAAGCCTTGTAAAAAGCACCCACCGCTGTGGAGAAGGACCAACCATGTAACAACGAACCGAAGCTACCGAGAGGCGCCACTAACGCGCAGCGCACTATTCGACAATGGTTGTCAAGTGGACGACTGTGGTCCGGGCAATTGTATCTCATAGGAACCGTGCCATCGGTACAACAGCGGCTACGATACTGGTGGCCATTCGCTCCTCATCTCCATGTTGACATCACTGGGCAGCGGAACAATAATCCGCCATGCGAATGGTCCCTTGTTTCGGAAACCGACAACCGCGTAAATGGGCTTTCAGCACCGGGTTACAGACGTACATATGCATATATGCCACTCTGGGATACACCGGTGACGTGGATATTTCCGGCTTTAACGTACAATATGCAATCAAACACACGTTCGGTGGCTTACTGGTCGCTCGCACAAAGTATGTGTGATTGAAGCTTCGACGTGCATGCTGCCAAGACAGCCACTGCAGCTCAGAAACGCGTCTAACGCTGTATTACTGATCAGGAAAATGAGTATAGAGATCATTATTCATGTTTCGCCCTGCCTCTGCGGCGCGGGACCCGCACTGACACACAACACAATGATACGCATCCGACTCTAGGACAGACTCGTGGCCCAAATCCGATTTGCAAGGTCATGTCTCTGTCGCTTGGCCTTGCAAACCCGGCAGACTTAGCGTATAGTCGGAACCGAGTCGCTGGAACCACCCCTTGCTCATTGGCCCCTTACCGCTTTGGAGAGGGATTGTACCTAACCACGCGGGATTTCGGTCCAATTCAAGCACCGGGAACAATGACGTGAAAGGGTCCTCGGCGGTCCATCATGCTTCGCCCCCACAGCCAAGCGCGTGCCCGACACGTCTTTTGCTGACGTGTGGATGGAGCTTGGAGAATCGCCAGGATGATCCGGCGGGGCGCGGCTGCGCGGGAAGGATGACAGTCACTTGATCCCTCAGTGTACTTAGCAAGGATGAGACAAGGGGAGCACGAAGTACATTCATTCGGCATCACGTGAAAACCGTTGTGTTTGGCTCAGATCTCAGCACCCTACAGGCGGCTAGCTACAAGGTAATGCAATGGACGATCCGGCATGCAGGACCCGCTAGGGCGAACGGGCTGACTTGAAGTAACGCCGCGGCTTCAATCACTTCACTCCGCCGTCTGTGTTGCCCGCGGCTGGAACGATCGAGCTATCGGACCGCTCGCCAATTTGTTAAACGGAGTCTCAACGATGCAGAACTGCCTCTAGGAGGTTGATGACCGGAGTGTTTACCAACCTAGGACATCAGTGCCGGCGGCACAGTGACGGGCGTCAGCCCTCCCTTGTCCACTTTGCCTATCTGAAAGCGTCTAATCGTATGTTTCCTCAGGCGACCATAACACCGCCCCACCCCACAGCAAAACTACCTTCTAGATCACCTGCATGAGTCGATGAACGCAGCACAGTGTGGCCAAGAAATGATAGACATCTCACCTGCGTACGTATCGTTCGATCTTGACGAAATTGTGGCCCATGTGTGCATCCAGAGATCTTCCGTGGGAATTTCACGCACTGTGAGCGTCTCCACGATGTGATCGAGACGCGCAAGTGACCCGGCAACGTACCCGAATCCGACCTGGTCTCGCGCTCGCGCCTCTAGATCACCGCGCCGCAACTGATGACCATTAGGCGGGCTACCCACAGTGCAGTCGGCGATATGTCATCGCTTGTCAGAAGTGAGGCATTCGCAACTTGTACACGAACAGAAAGCATCAGAATGCCATCCCCAGCAGCACTCAACCACCAACATCTGACGCGCATCCCCTTCGCGTGGTGAGCCGTCGCAGAGAGAACAGCCGGAGTTTCGAACCATGTGGTCCTCGCATGTGCAAGGCTGACGTGCATGGTCAAGGTTACACATGGGGCTCCAGGGCAATGGTTTGGCTCGTAGCGCTCGCGTGTCCACTACTGCGGGAAACGTGCAGTGTCACCTTCGAGAAAGCCGGCTAAAGTCAGAGCCGTCCACCAGATGGGAGGACTGTTTCAATGAGGCGGCGGCATGTGCGTGGGAATAGATTAACCGCACATGGCGGCCAACAGCCGTAACAGGGGTCTTCAGCAGTCCTTTCATGATGGTGGACGCGAGCCTGTCATACGGTCATATCATTGTCCCATATACGTTTAGGTGTCTGTTTCGTAGCATTTCAGCCTCAACCGCCGGCTGAGCTTTAGCGGAATCCTGCGCCGAGATGTTCTGATGCCGTCGTGCACTGGGGTTTGGTCGGCATGTGTCTTTTGTGCTTCGATTCGAAGTCGCTAGAGTGTCACATTGTCTGGCGACTGCAGCATCATCTTTAATCTCGTAACGCCTTCTTAGTCTGGTAGGCAATGCGCTGAGCTGGTCATTACTACCGGCCTACTCACATGTAGGTAAGGTTATTGGGTACCCAGCCTGCGCCAACATTACGCCCTTCTCGTGTCTGAACCCGATCGTCGCCCTAAGCCCGTCGATGCCTGGCGTTCAGATACGAATACGCGTGCCGTGCCGGAATCAGTCAGCAATAAGACCAGTGTATGTTATGATGTGACATGATCCCAGACATCGTTCTTGATATGCAACTGGCAGAACAGCATACATAGAAGAAGCCCTCCAGAACCAACGCGGAATGCAGATATGGACCAAGTCTTGTAAAGTCTCCACGAGACTGGAGACGTGACCAGCACATTCGTACTTTGCTCTGCTGAATGCAGGCATGGATATTCACGCAACAGATGATCGTATGGCAAGATGGTTTTGCATTCTGCAGTCCACACGATGTTTCTAATGCTGTTGGCTAACGAATGTGTTGATACCTACCAGTGAGTACTGTGCCTTGAGCCGACAGTGATTTTGGATTAATGCAAGGTCAGTACGGATACGATATGTAAATCGCACCAGGAAAAAGGGCGTCTGCTGTTGCGGCGATCCGTGTTGAGGCTGAGAGCGATGGATGAGGGCCGCTCCGCAGACCGGTGACTCCCCGCAGAGCTAGGACCAATGACGACCAATGACTAACACGGCAGTCGCGACCTCCATACTTCCAACAGTCGACGACCATCTCATGCCACCGCAGCTTCCCCGTCACTCAGAGCATCACCATCACTATAGCTACCAACACTCATGTCTCTCTCTAATTTCTGAACGCCAGCTCGGCACCCTCACGCAACTCGTCGACGAGTTGCCTCCAGTCATTGCTTGACGAAGTTCTACTCATCGTTTGCCTTACACACCCGTCACGATGCTTCCTTTATTATCGCAATTATTTCGGACGCACTTCTTACACACCAACTCACGATCAATACCACGCTTACTCACCAGCGCAACGCGGCAATACGCAACTTGACCAGTCTTACCCCGACCGCGCCTTCCCGCGAGGAATAGAACCACGAAGACACATAACTTCTACTACGCAATATGGCCTCCATATTCACCTTCGACCCCGATCCTCCGCGCGTTTCGTCGCCGTGGGCTATCACGCCTATCGGCGGCGTTGCGCACTCCCCCGTGCCAGCCACGAACCCCCGACGAATCCCTTCGACTCTCGGCGGTCTTAATGACGAGACGAGCGCAAATGCAACATCCCTCCCCACCGATATAGATTATACGCATATCACACGGTTGGAGGCGGAGCCCCAAGATGGGCCTACGGAGTATAAGCTACATCTTCTGCTCAGGCGACGGCGGTCGTTCACCCGTTCCAGTACCGCACGCCATATATCTGGGTCCATGCGTCGACCTGAAATACCTATACCAGCGGGTCGCAGCGTATCAGAGTCCGGCGTCCTGGCTAATACCCCTCCACCACTGGCATCTACACAGTCAAAGCAGCATCGTCTGGAGCAGCTGACTACTCAGTTGCTGTGGCGCCTACAGCAGTCATGTCCAAACCACATGTCATCATCCATGGCACCTGTCATACCTCATTTTCCCGACGATGCACGTCTGTCAGGGCCCGAGATGCCTCAACGTCTGCTGCCGGGGTTGGAGGAGAGTAGTGGTGCGCTCTATGAGATTGGAGTCGCGGACGACGGAACTATTGTTGGCTTGGCAGAAGACGAGATGGAAGAGAGCCTGAACAATTTGCGCGCCATGGCTGCAAGCTTGGGCTGTGGAGTCAAGGTCATGCGCAGGGTTCCTGTAGGCGATTGCGAGTGGACAGAGGATTCCGGCACCGCAAAACAGAGGGTTGTAAAATCGCAATTGCTAGTTGCCGAAGCTCTGGTCCGCCCAGAACAGCACTTGATCGACCATACGAAGAGTAATGAGCAGGATGCATCCGACATGCCGTCTGACGCCAGTGTGAGCAACATGGGGGCGCCGGCTAGCGAGTCCCCGAGAGTCACCGAGCAGATGCGCGTATCCGTGACTGGCGCCACCATGTCCGGTAAATCTAGCCTACTGGGCACGCTTTCCACCGCTACGTTGGACAATGGCCGAGGAAAGAGTCGCTTGAGTCTTCTGAAACACAGACACGAAATCGCATCTGGCATGACCAGCTCTGTCACTCAGGAGTTAATAGGGTACCGTGATGTAGGAGGGTCATCACAAGTGACTAGCTATGGCTCTGAGGACATCGACTCATGGATCGACATTCACGCGGCTGTGGAGTCAGCGGAAACCGGTCGACTTGTGTTTCTCTCTGACTCAGCTGGTCATCCTCGATTTAGACGCACCACAGTCCGTGGAATCGTTGGCTGGTAAGTGATCACTGCATATCATAGCACCCCCTTCTTCCACATGTACCCTTTTGGGATGCCTTATCTTCATCATGTGGTGGACTTTGCTAACCTCACCAGGCAACCACATTGGACAATTCTGTGCATTCCAGCTGACAACACCGATGAGTCCTCAGGCAAGCTTGGAGCATCACCCTCAGCTGAAGAAATACTCGGCCCAGCAGCAGCAGATCTGGATCTGTCTCATGCACACCTTCAGTTATGCCTCGCTCTGGAACTGCCGCTTGTGATTGTTATCACGAAGTTCGATTTGGCTACCAGAACCGGCTTGGGAAACATCTGTAACAAGTTGTTTTCGGTATTGAAAAAGCACAAGAAGACGCCTTGTCTCATCAGTGATGCAGCTACATCTGTGCTAGAGGCCGATCTACACACAATTGATGGAGGAGATCCTAAGATCGACAATGCACTGAGTCTCCTTGCAGACTCACCACTTGCGGCAGTGCCGATAATTTTGACTAGCGCCGTCAAAGGAACAGGAATCCGGAAGCTTCATGCATTCCTTCGAGAACTGCCCATGCCCAAGGAAGTGACTCTACCTGCACCTGCAGCAGCTTCGCCACTCTTTCATATCGAAGACGTCTACAGCGTCCGCACAGATACATCAAATCATCGATCTGCGATCATTGGGGGCTACCTCCGTTACGGGTCTCTGGCTGTTGGCGACGAGCTACTATTAGGACCCTACCCTGTCGATGTAAGCTCTGACGACAGCGACAGCGGTAGCGCAATACCAAATCGCAAGCCATCTATTCCGCAATCAAGGTCATTTCCTGGCGCACTAAACACAAAGTCGAAGAACGCCTCATTGCGCGATCGGCATAGTGAATGGCGACGCGTCCGCATTACCTCTCTGCGTAATTTGCGTCTACCCGTGCGAAAGCTGCATACAGGTCAGGTCGGGACCATGGGCCTCGCACCCGTCGATACACCGATTGTTAGTCCATCAATAAACAGAATACGCAAAGGCATGGTACTGGCGGCTCGCGAGCCTAAAGCGCACAAAGTCATTACAGTGCGATTCGAAGAGGGGCAAGCAGAAGGCGTCAAGGATCTCGGTGTCGGTAGCGCAGTCGTCGTCTACATTGCCAGCGTCAGAGCTTCATCGAAGGTACTTTCCGTTTCTGCTGAACGTACCGAAGCCCCTGCGCTGAACATTAATGGAGACGATGATGCTTTCGGGTTCGGCTTTGACGATGAGGTGGAGAAGTCAGCAACTGAGGGTGCGGTCATTGTGACCTTCCAATTCATCGCTTCGCGCGAGTTCGTAGAGATGGGTGCCAAGGTGTTGGTCATGCCTGGTGGTGGGCCAGGGCTTTTCGGGGGTAATGAGAGGGGTGCCAAGGGTATGGCTGGGCTGGAAGGGTTTGTTGGCAGAGTAGTGGACGACGCTTAGTAAGGTCGTGGTCATGAAAGCCTGCTACCATGTCTTCCAGGTCCGAGAATGAGTAGGCATGCATCGTTGTATCAATCTTGTTTAGCAATGGCGTTGGAGGCTACGGTCGGGGTAATAATAATATTTCGGTTTATCTTGCACGAACATGTTTCGCGCGCGAAGAAAGCGAAGAATGGATGACTTGGCTCATCAAATATCATTGCAGACATCACGATAATCACAAAGGTCAAGAGATGTTGCACGCCCTTCCCCACACGCAGGCACTACACCGCACGCATCCATGACAGACACGCACATCATGCACCCACGCGCCTCGTCACCACAGAATCGCATACCGTCCTGACCTGACATCCCTAAGGACCGACTGGGTATACAAGCAGCTCAGAGTGAAAAATTGGGAAGGATTCATGCACGCACCGCTCACAGCTATCCAGACAGACGGCACCTTCTACATTACGGGAACCGTTCGCCTGTAAGGGGTACTAGGGGTAAAAGGGGCGATTGTCGGCGACTGTGGGTTCAGTACGGTAGTTGATGTATCGCTAGGCTATACTGAGCAGCAGGAATGGGTCTGGTCGCTGAGCTCCACCTTAGGCCGCGAAAGCATGTTCTGGGTCTGGGCTTTCTTTTTGAGAACACGAAGGAGAGGAAAGGGACATGTTAGGGGACACTGGGAACCGCTTACCGCTTGTATGGCGGCTATGATAATCGAAATGATGATTTGGGGATATCGTATTCAAGTACCGGCTTTCCGTGCATTCGGAGCACTTTCTGTTATTCAAGTATAAATCGGTCGTTGCGCTTTCGTTCGTGATCAAGCCGCTGACGAGGCGAAGAGAACCTTCCGAGGCCCACCCATGGTCAAGTTCTTGGAAGCGGCAGCACTAGTTCCGCTGCCTTCCATACTTTCGAGCATCCTGTCCATGCCACCGAGATCAAGCTCGCCACGAGTGAGGAGAGCCTGGTCTGTTCGGGTCGATGTTTCGTCTTCCACCTTTTCGCGCGCGAACATGGCGTTTAGATCACGTCCAAGAGGCTGGCTGGTGCTGGCGGTGATGATGAGGCGGTGCTCTGCTGAGATGAGGATGTCTCTTGGGACGGCCATGCGCGAGGCTTGGGCTGTGGTGTCGAACTGCGAGACCGAGGTGATGGATTCGCCGCAAAGTACAACATCCTGTTGTTGGAGACCAGGGCCAGGTAAGGAACCTCCGCTGCTGGCGGAAGCAGTGCGAGTCCAGAACTTCATCAGATCTGCTATCCTGTGGATCTCGGACCCGTACCAAATGAGGATCGAGTCCTCTGCCGATACTCCGTTGTTCGACCTGATGCTCGCGACAGAAACGCCACCTCTGGTTGCTACTGTCGAACTTGACGCGCTGCCCTGGAACAGTGTTTCCTCTTTCCGCTTACGTGTATTCGGCGTCATTGGAGCGAGTGAATTGCGACTTCCGCGCTTCGGACTCGATGCGCCGCCAGAGGTTCCTTCTTTCTCGGCTGTACCAACATACCCCCGAAGAGAAAATGCCGATGGATCTGCTGGAGGACTTGGACCAGACCGGTCGACATCCCAGACGCCCCACTCGCCATCTGCCAGGAGAGCTATTATATGACGACCATCGGAAGCCCACGCTGCGTCGATGATAGCTTTGCGCGATGGGAGAACAGCAGGAGTGAGCGCAACGTTCTTGACGCTCTCGAAGGATGACCTAAAGGTTCCCACAAATGCGCCAGGCTCCGCGCGACTACCGCTTCCTCGTCGCTTACGAATTGGTAGTGTAAAAGGATCGTAGATGCGCGTAGTGCCTGCGGAGTCCGCAATCAGTAGTTGCGAATGGCGAGGTTTTGGGTATTGAGCGGTGTTGAAGGCAATACGAGAGGCAGGCTTGCTGAGGGCAAGCGTCTTGTAAGGCGCGACAGGATGGGACACCTGTAGTGCCGTCTCCGACAGCTCAAATCGGAACAGCTTGAGCAGACCTCCCAGCTCGGCGGAGTGGGATGCCACAAGTATGCCGAAGCCTCCGTCGGTGCGCGATTGGGGTTTGCGCCTAGAGTTCGCTGTGTCTTCTTCCTCTTCGTCCATATCCACATCGTCGTCCCCATCTTCTGCAGAGCTTGGTTCTCCTCTTGCAGTCCAAGTCATGGTAACACCCATCGGAATGCTCTGGTGACCGTGGACCTTGACAACGTTCTCGCCAAACTGGGGCTTCACGCCGTGTAGCTTGTCTTTTGCGACATGTGGAGGAGGACTCAAAGGCAGCGTGATGATACAGATGGTCGAGTCGGCGCATGCGACAGTGAAGACGATGTTTTGACTGAATATGGGAGGTATGGTATCCGCGGGTCGGAGGGTCGACGCGCTCGGTATTTGGGGTACGGCGATGTGGAGGACTTGGGTGCTGAGCGACAGAGACAGCTGCTGAACGATCGAGGCATACGGCTGGTCTGGGTCGAGCTCTTCTTCTTCATCCTCAAACTCTGCCTTAGGCAGCGGCTCCGCGGCAGCTTTGGCAGGCTCGTCATCGTCCGAGTCGATGATCATGATGGCATCCTTGCTTGTTCCATTGACTTTCGCTGGCTTCGCTGGCTGCTTTGGAGGTGGCGCAGTCTTCTTCAAGGGCCGTCCGCCTCTCCATAGGATGCCGACGCCATTCTCGTGGCCGTATAGTACGATGGTCGAGCCATTGGGGGCTTTGACGGGGTATACGGTGGAGTCGTGTACGCGATGCGGAAGCTCGTACCTATAAGACGCTATGTCAGCAGTCGCGTGACGCGCAGCGCGGGGAGAACATACCTCAGCTGAGTCAGCTTCCCTTGCGTGGTGACAATGGGCTCCATGCTTGCAGCTCGAGGGTTGTGAACGAAGCTACCGCCTAGGTAACGAGGAAAGGGCGAAGGATGCGACTTCTGCCTGAAGCGCAACTATAATCAGAACGACTGAAAGGTGTCTGATTGTTATATTGGCAGTACGAGAGGTGCACGAGTGGCGCGACGTGATGTGTGAGGGTGAAGGAACCTCGGAGGTGCTGCGGAGTTTGTCAACATTTCCCTGGGGAAGTCGCGCTCGACCGCAGCGCGTCACCTCAGATCGCGCGCCCCGCGCAAACAAACCGCCCTTCTCACCCCGACGCACACCCGCCACCCGAACCTCCCTCATGTTGCGGGCCAGTCTTTCGCATGGCCTCCCTTCGCTCAATCGGGGTCCACAAGCCCTCCGCCCTGCAGTATCTGGTCCAAGAGTCCATCCTGACCGACGATAGCACCGACCGCGACTATGTCTGGGACACCTACACCGACGACAGCCCCGATGGCTACACCGACGAGCTCGTCACCACCGAGTACCACGTGATCTGGTCGCGAGGCGGTATTGTACGCAAGGTGTTCAACTTTGAAATTGAGAAAGAGAAGGTCAAGCAGGCGCTCTTGACATGGTTCTTGGTAGACGAGCCCTCCCAAGGCACCCACGAGCCTTCCGACAACTCGTCAGAACACAAATCTGTCGACCCTGCAAAGAGCTTCCTCACACAAGGGACCCAGCCTGCTACCGATCCCACTGCGCCAGCCAGTCCCACAACGCCCACGTTGGAGAAGCTATCGCGTGCTCTCGTCGTCTTCCTGAAGTCGCAAGCACACGTCTTCTTCCTCTCAGGCACCACACACATCGTAAACCTCCCCTTCGAGGTGGACAAGGCCTTTCCTGCAGCACGCGGTGTTGTGCTACAGAGGAAGCTTGCTCCTTTGCACCCTGTGCCCACCAGTCCGCAGCTGCCGTCGGCTCCACAGAATTCCTTCCTCACGAACAACCAGTCTTTCCTCTCACAACAGTTCTCCTTTTCACAGAGCTTTCATAAACCCCACCGGCGGCATGGCTCTTCAATGGGCGCATCGCGACATGGTAAATCTCGCCTGTCGGGTGCAAACACGTTTCTTGATGATTTGTTCAATCCTATTGCGCCTCTAAATCCAGAGTCGATACCCAGGTTATATTCCTTCACAGACCCGCTGTCGGAGCTGGGACTGGTGGTCAGCGTTGTTACAGGTGGTGATCGCAGCAGCTTCTTGACCTCCCAAGGCTCTGGTCATCGGCGACTCGAGGCGATTGACAAAGCTGAGGAGATCATTTACGTGTCTCCGCGGAACGAGATTCTGTTCGATCGCAGTGGTAATGACAAGCCTCTTCTACTAGTAGTCACAGCAAACCACGAGACTAATGTATTTACCATCTGGTCTGCGGCCTATCTTGAGCCAAAATCAATATCAAGTTCTCGCAAACAGCACATTCCTCTGCCAGTAGCCAAGTCTCGACGCCGTAGCTCATATGGCGGCACTGCACCAGGAACAGGCGCAACTACGCCAGCAATTCGTGGAGCTGACAGATTGAGGGAAAGCTTTGGTGGTGCTCCACGCAGCAAGACTCAGCCCCCATCCTTCAAGATCACCAAGGAACGTCTCTCTGACCAAGCAGTCGACGACGCTCTTGCCTCACAGCTCAATCCCGATTCCGACATCACCCGCCAGCCAAAGGAGTCTAGGCGAGTGAGCTCGCTGTTGTCACGGGCTGAACTCTCAACGAGTTTCGACAGAAGCGCGTTTCAGGACATGGCAACGTCCCGCACCAGTATTGGTGGCAGCTTCAATGCAAGTCAGCGAAGTAGGCACTCACTGGGTCACGATCGTACAAGTTTTGGTGGCTTCTCACAATCTCGGAATCGAGCTTCCACCCCTGGTAGCGTTACATCCCGAATGAGCTTAGGTGCTGTATCGATTGATGACACCCTGGACGATGTCATGGACGAGGATACATTCGACACTATAGAGGACTACGACGAGCTTGATGATCTGTTTGCACCGCCTGATGGTAAAGGAGGACCGCAACCTGGGGATGGACTCCACAAAGAGCTCATCATCAGTGTCATCGCAGAGCTCCCAGTTACACAATACCTCAAAAGTGGCCTCTTTGCCCTTCGGAACACTTCAAACTCTGAGGTAAGTCAGCATCGTTC